GAGAGCTAATCATGTTTTGGGTGTACTATTCCTTTAACGGCAATCCCCCCCCTTTAACGCCCGACCCTCAAAATCATAGAGAGGTTTCAGATATTGCAGGCTTCAAATCTTGGAAACCAAGTCCAGTGGATATTTTTGAATTTTTACGGAATGACTATGACCTGGATGACTGAAAACTTTCATTAGCATAATATAAACACAAAACTAGCTATGTTTATCTGCAGATAAAGTGAACAGAAATATCTCATTGCGACAATTTTTTTTGTTTTATATTTATTATATTGAACTTTTGTTGTTTTCATAATTTTGTTTTTTACTTTTGTAGGTAGCAAAAAGAGCTACTGATGTACAGAGCTCTATAAATCTTATTTAGTACTATATTTTAATATTTTTTTATTATAATTACCTCACACTAGATGGCTTAGAACATCATCTTTCTTTAAAGGCCACCCTCAAGCTGCTGGTAAAACATGCAATCTGCCGTGTTAATGGGGCAGAAAGTGGTTTACATATTTTTACACACACAACTAGGGTGGCCGGATATTCAGCTCGGTGTGTGATACTCATGTTTTGCTTCTGGGCGACTCAAAATTGAAGCAATATCCCGCATCTGACTTGTTCAAATTAGAATAAAAGTAGAAAAATATTATATTGAAAGGCGATTTTCCCAAATGCAAAGAAAGCAGAGCTACAATCATTGTCACAGAGCTGCGCCAGTGACCCATGTCATCACCAACCTGCACACGATGCTCATTAAACAAAACATCCTAATGAACTTTAAACAATGCATGAGGGAAACTACATGTAAAGAAAAGAGCTGCTTCAAAATTCAATTTAATATGAGGGGAGAGAAACGTGAAGCAACACACATACTGTACGCTTTAGAGCTCAACTCAAACTACGGATGAAAACTAACCAGTCATGTGACCACTAAACTTTTAACATTTCCTTGTGATGCTTATATTGTTTATTATATGTTCTTTCTTATGTATTTGCCTGCCTAATGCCTCCGGATGGAAACTAGCTTTGTAGCCATAATTCGGCATATTTACATTTGTTTTTATACTGATGTTCATTAATGTGATTTGTCCCTATTTAAATAAATAAATAAATAAACACAACTGGAAAATTCCAGCCATTGTCCCTCATAAGGATCCTAGTTGTCCCATTTAGTTTTTTTGAGATCCAGTCATCTACCTGCACTTACTGCACATACTTAAAAAAAATCATGTGCAATTTAGTGCCCCTCCTTTGGGATTTTTGGAGATTCAATTCAATTCAGTTTATTTATATAGTGCCAAATTCACAACACATGTCATCTCAAGGCACTTTACAGTTTAACCAGATCATACAGTCAAATTGATACAAAGTTTTCTATCTAAGGAAAACCAGTTGATTGCATCGACTCATTGACTCAAATAC